GGTTTAGGGCTCAGGATTTAGGATTTAGGGTTTAGGGTTTAGGGTTTAGGTACTCCCCAAGCCTTAAAACCAAGAAATCCTGAACCGTAAACTTGCCCTAAACATTATAGAGTTGAAGCCGTGAAACCCCTGTGAGACTTAAGAACTAAACCTTACACCTCTCTTCGTGGGTGGGCCAACTGTTCCCTGAGTCGTGAACTCCCAAACCCTGACCCTGGCCAGGACGGCAGGCATATTGCTATGATGACGAGGATCGGTATTAGTGTTAGTATTCGTTTTGGTACTAATACTAGCAGTAGTTTTGGTACAGTACGGGTATGTAGAAGCATTAATTAGTATGAACATGAGTATCAGTAGCAACCCTGGTCTTGTTATAACTATTCATAAGAATCCTCGTTCAGCTGACCCGCGATGATGTGCAAGGCTGCCTCCAGGCTTTTCCATTGGCATTTGGGCTTCGGGCTTAGGGCTTCTTGTCGTAGGGTTTCGGGATTCGGGCTTGTGTGTGTTTGACAGCTAAGGGCTGCAAGAGACAGAAGTCTCAAGACAGCCATGCAGACTCAACGCCGGGGAAATGGAAGAACCGGAGTAAACAGCGCAATGCGCGTCATGAAAGAGGACAGGTCCTAGTTATCGACCAAGGTCACTTTTACCTCCAAGTCACTGTTACCTGTTACGAGGAAAAACATGAGAATTTCTGTGTAACGCTCGGTCATGATCATGACAGGCACATCGCTGACTACTTGCTGCAACCTTGATGGGAAGCAACACAATGACTAAGATAATGGTGGCTAGACTAACAAGCAAAATATACGGGCCTGAACCACTAGTGTCGTAGGGTATGTCGTCAAACCTCGTAATTCTAAAAACTCTAGCCCACGAACGCAAGCGGAAGCATGGCCTTCTTCAGCTTGTTCTGAGATCGGAAGCCACGCAGGTTGTCAACGAAGTTGGACTGAAGGCTTACATTCTTGGCCTTGGGCGCCTTGAGCTTGATCCTCAGCGAAGCGGGGCAATGCTTATGCCAGCACTGCTCATTGTAAGAAAGGCATGCTGTGGTAGCAGCTAGTAGCACAATAAGGGAAACGACTAGTCTCGTGCATGGCAGTGCTAGTTGCATCCTCGCAGAGACACAGTGACTGCCGATCCTAGAGGAATACTGAGTGGACCAGAACCATGCATTCAGCAGGAGGCTCTTGTTATGTTAGTTGCATATCAACATCGTCATGACTATCGCCAGTATGACCATCACCACTACCATCACCATCACCGCCATCATCATCATCATCACCATCATCAGTATCAGCACCCTCCCGGCTGCCAGTGTCATAACCAGCACCATCACTGTCAACATATTGCACATGGTCATGATGATAGCTTGTCATGTACTATTCTCCGAGGAATAAATCTGACATTGGTGTGACTTTCACCTACTACTAAGTTACAACTCTCCATGACGACGACGATGTCGACGCCAACTACCACTTGTAGGAGCAGCATTACAATTCTATTTGCGAACCTAACGTTGCTGCTTGTTGTCGTGTGACACGGTATGACGCTTCTGCATGAAACGAGGGTGTCGATACAGCATAGCTTCCCTGGAAGCTGAACATTCCATCGGTCGGAAATTGCTTTTGGCCACTCATCCGCGCTAACCCAAAGCACCATACCTCCCAGGTCCCAAGCCACTCGTGCTGCAGCGCCTGGTCTGCAGTGAACCTCCCGGTGGGGCAGGCATGTAAGCATCGCAGGTAATATAGGGACCTTGATAAGTAGAATAGGGTTTGGGGGTATGTTATACTATAATTACAATAATAAGGAGCCCCCCCACCATAGTATTGGTAATGACGACGGCTTCTATATATATATATATATATATATTCATTCATTAGGTTGCAGTTCTGATCATGGACCGAAACCCTCAACCCTAAACCCTAAACCCTCAACCGTAAACCCTAAACCCTCAACCCTAAACCCTAAACGCTCAACCCTGAACCCTCAACCCTAAACCCTAAACCCTAAACTCTAAACCCTAAACCCTAAACCCTAAACCCTCCCGGCGGCCTTTCTCTGGGGTTCATCCTGAGGAGGCTGCGTATGAGGCTCTTGGCATCCTCCAAGGCGGCCGTCTTTCAGAGACAGAGAGCTGGGCCCGCAAGCAAGGGTTTAGGGTTTAGGGTTTGGGTTTGGGGTTTAGGTCTAGGGTTTAGGGTTTAGGAAGAGCAGCAAAAAGCTCTATCCCCAGCTGACAAGCCAGAGAATTCCTAAACCCCAAACCCCAAACCCACCCTGAGCCCTGAACCCTAAGCCCTAAACCCTAAACCCTAAGCCTTGAACCCTAAACCCTAAACCCTAAGCCTTGAACCCTCTGCAAGCAAAAACGTCCTCCGACACATTCTTCCAGTCGGCGGGGTTAAAACTGAAGTTGCCCATCTTCACCTGCGAAGCGAATCCGACCCAGGGTTCCCGTTGTCTTAGCAGTTGCGGGAACCCTAAACCCTAAAGCCTAAACCCTGAACCTCTAAACCCTAAACCCGGAACCCGATAGCGGCTTTTGCAGATATCCCATGTCGGCTCACACCCCGCGACTAGCGACTGGCTGTGTTGACGTCTCTCAGAGCTTCTGCCATGCAGAAGAGCCTTGCAGCCATGCATTATGTATCAATGAAGAACCTGATCCCAAATCTCCAGACTTCCCGGATCCACAAAAATCACTATGAAGCAACCAAAGCCCACCAGCTCATGCCCAAACCACACATAAATAAGTCTCAACCCTCCATGCGCTTGGGCCTTGGACAAAACCTCCTGATCGGAGTCCCCAAAGAAGGGAGGATAACCGCAGAGCAGCACAAACATGATGACCTGGCTAGAAAAACAGTCAGGCAGACTAGCAGACCCCGTTCCTCACACCAGGGTCCCAAGGACACCAAGAACGGGTGTTTGGGGCTTAGCGTAGAAGTGATGTAGCTCGGTAGTCAGGGCACTTGGACCCGTCTGCTCCCTAAACCTGAAACCATTTCCCACGGTCCCTACTAAGCACCAGACAGATAAACATGAATCAAGTGGGCTTGGGAGGTTTGGGGTTGACGTGTTTAGGGTTTAGGGGTTCAGGTTTAGGGTTCGGGCGTTTAGGGTTTAGGGTTTAGGGTTTAGGGGTTCAGGTTTAGGGTTCGGGCGTTTAGGGTTTAGGGTTTAGGGTCTAGGCTTTTTGGGGGTTTAGTTTCGGCACTAATGTAGGAACGCGACTAAGCAACCCTGGCCCTACAAGCCCATAATATTGGGATTCATAGAAAGAACCGCAATAATTGGCCCAGGATTTCTTAATCAGGTTCTTATACTGACTAGGGTTTAGGGTTTAGGGTTTAGGGTATATACTAACTAACACCCCACCCTCGTCCCCAATGAAAGATGTCAAACCTGACAAACAAGCTGCCCACAGAGACGGCAAACCACTCACAACCCCGCGAATGAGAATCCGCCCGGAAAGCTTTCCCTAAACCCTAAACCCTTAAACCGTGGAGCCAACGCTCCGACATTGTTCAACCCCATGCACTGATGCTCCAAACCAAGCCTTCCTAAACATTCAAAAAAGGAGCCTCTGATGCTTGGCAGGCTACAAGAATAAACAAAAAAAAAGACCCCTTCACCCCCTCTGTGTTCTCACCCGCCTGTAACCAAAAACAAACATCATCCGAAGATGACCCAACAAGTGCCCGAGGCCCTAAACCCGACACCCGCCCGAAGCCATGGCAGCGATGCGCCGCAACTCCAAAGGTCCGACGACTGTGCCAGGTTTTGGGATTGGGGTTTAGGGTTTAGGGTTTAGGGTTTAGGGTTTAGGGTTTAGGGTTTTGGGATTGGGGGGTGGAGCTGGTAAGGTTTCAGGATTCCTTACTGTAGGTTCTGTGAGTTGCTAAGGTTTCAGGATTCTTTTGGTTCTGGGAGTCTGACGATTCCCTAGGTTCTGGGGTTAAGGGATTCGAGTTCGTTGAATTCTTCAAGGGGTTTAGGATTTAAGAATCTAGGTTACCAGGGCTTCGGGCTTGGGATTTTCATGGCGTTGTCTTCGGCTTCGGGCTTCGGGTTTGTAGGGCTTAGGGTTTACGGTTTGGGGACTTATAGGCAGTTCAGTTGTGTCCCGAAGTTGGGAGTTCAGGACTCCGATCTCGGAGCTTGTCAGGTTGAAGACTGTGCGATTCAGGCTGTTTTTTGGAATTACAGGGGTAAGACGGCCGTTCGATTTTGCTGAGGGCCTTGGCAGTCTGTGTGTCCGACTAAGATCCAAGTGTTGGATATGTTGGCTGCTGTGTCTTGTGAATGTGGCTTTACCTCGATTTTGGTTTCTATGTGCACAGCGTCATGTTGCAATGCACAGGTCATGTCTTGGAACGCTCCATGCTTCGTTGCACGTATTCTTCTTGTTGAAGCGGCTGGGTTAGTGGAAGTTTCTAGTTTAGGATTTGAAGGCTCATTCATGCATGCACACACACACACACATACAAGCAAGCAAACAAACCAAAATGCATACATACATTAACCTACATACATTACATACATATATACAAACATACATACATACATACATACATACATACATACATACATGCATGCATGCATGCATGCATACATACATACATACATACATACAAATACATTATTTCAATCTGTGTATATATATAATATAACTATAACTATATACATACAGACCGACAGACAGACAAACAGACAGACAAACAAAACCTCGTACATCCATACATGCACACATGCGTACATGCATGTATGTATGTATGTATGTATGTATGCATGTATGTATGTATGTATGTATGTATGTATGTAGGTATATGGAAACATTCACACACATGTGCATATACATAATCATGATAATAATAAAAAGAATACCACTAATAGCAAAACTAGTAACTGTATAATAGCAGGACTAAGAACAATCACAATAGTAGTAATATTAAGTAGTACGTACATCACCTGCCTGCCTACCTGCCTACCTGCCTAGCTGCCTACCTGCCTACCTGCCTACCTACCTACCTACCTACCTACCTACCTACCTACATACATGCGTACATATGTACATAGGTATGCATGTAGGTAAGTGTATAACAATATGTATGTATGTATGCATGTATGTATGTGTGTATGTTGACTGCATGTATGTATGGACGGATTGGACGGATGGACGGATTGATGGACGGACGGACGGACGGACGGACAGATGGATGGAGGGATGGATGGATGGATGGATGGATGTACCAATGTATGCACGCGTATATATATATATATAT